CTAGCAGGGTCTATCAGGGTCTATCAGGGTATACCAGGGTCTAGAAGGGTCTATCAGGGTCTATCAGGGTCTATCAGGGTCTACCGGGGTCTATCAGGGTCTACCAGGGTCTACCAGGGTCTATCAGGGTCTACCACGGTCTATCAGGGTCTACCAGGGTCTATCATGTGTATCGGGGTCTACCAGGGTCTACTAGGGTCTACCTGGGTCTACCAGGGTCTATTAGGGTCTACTAAGGTGATGGCAGAAGACGGACACTGCTGTGGAAGCCTACTCACCTGATCACACCTTCTCAGGCAAATATAAAAGACGGGGGCTGGGTCGACACACACAGCACAGGCCACTTAGTAAGGGTGTGGAGGAAACAGGGACACGCGCATTGATGGATACACACCACATCACACTAACTGAGGCAAATATAAAAGAGGGGGGCTGGGTGGACACACACAGCACATGCCACTCAGTGAGGGTGATTGCGAAACACGGACACGGGCATTGATAGATACACACCACACCGCACTAACTGAGGGAAATAATAAAGACGGGGGCTGGGTGCACAAGCACAGCACAGGCCACTCGGTGAGGGTGAGGAGGAAACAGGGACACGCGCATTGATGGATACACACCACATCGCACTAGCTGAGGGAAATATTAAAGACGGGGCCTGGTTGCACACACACAGCACAGGCCACTCGGTGAGGGTGAGGAGGAAACATGGACACGCGCATTGATGGATACATACCACATCACAGTAACTGATGCAAATATAAAAGACGGGGGCTGGGTGGACACACACAGCACAGGCCACTTAGTGAGGGTGAGGAGGAAACAGGGACACGGGCATTGATGGATACACACCACATCGCACTAGCTGAGGGAAATATTAAAGATGGGGGCTGGGTGCACAAACACAGCACAGGCCACTCAGTGAGGGTGAGGAGGAAACAGAGACACGCGCATTGATGGATACACACAACATCACAGTAACTGAGGCAAATATAAAAGACGGGGCCTGGTTGCACACACACAGCACAGGCCACTCGGTGAGGGTGAGGAGGAAACAGGGACACGCGCATTGATGGATAGACACCACATCACAGTAACTGGGGCAAATATAAAAGACGGGGGCTGGGTCGACACACACAGCACAGGCCACTTAGTGAGGGTGAGGAGGAAACAGGGACACGGTATTGATACATGCAGACCACATCACACTAACTTAGGCAAATATAAAAGACGGGGGCTGGGTGGACACACACAGCACTTGCTACTCAGTGAGGGTGAGGGCGAAACACGGACACGGCATTGATACATACACACCACATCACAGTAACTGAGGCAAATATAAAAGACGGGTGGGTGGGTGGACCCACACAGCACATGCCGCTTCGTGTGGGTAAGGGCGAAACGTGGACATGGGCATTGATACATACACACCACATCACACTAACTGAGGCAAATATGAAAGACGGGGGCTGGGTGGACACTCACAGCACATGCCACTTAGTGAGTGTGAGCGCGAAACACAGACACCTGAGTGGATACATACACAGCACATCACAGTAACTGTGGGAAATATAAAAGGCTGGGGGTGGGTGGTCACACACAGCACATGCGAGTTAGTGAGGGTGTGGAGAAAACAGAGACACTGGCGAGTATACACGAACATTGCACTGTGTGATTGAGGATGGAGAGTATTGAAATAGCTTGGTGGGGTCAGGTTGTATGGTAGTGTTAGTGAAGAATGTCGTGCAAGGAATATGTGTTCTAGTGAATAGTGGTCGAGCTTTTAGTTGCAATACTTCGAGATCAGGTCGTCTTGCTGGAGATGCTGTAGCGTGTATGTTATCTTGAAGGTCTGAAAGTAGTTTGAATGAGACATAGGTTTTTACTAATAATCAGCGGTGCGTAACTAATATTTGCATGATTTGTTCCGTAGGAAAGAGGTAGGATTGGTTGTTGTTGAAAATGTTATGTGTTGGTCAAACTATCTTGAATAAGATTTGCTTTGGAGGGGAAAAGGTGTTGTATTCTATTTGGGAGTGGCATTTGTGTAATAAGTTGGCTTCACTATTGTTATGAGATGGATGTTGTAGGTGTTTGGGAATATTCGTTTGACCTGGAGTATCTTGTTATAATTGTTATAGGACTTTTCAATGAAAGCTATTTCCTGGCTGTTTTACAGCTGGGCAGCATGAAGGTGTTAGTAGCACAGTATTTTTTTACTTTAGAGTTAAGGTAAATACCTACTGACTAGCTCAAAAATGCAGAGGAAGTTTGTGTATAATTTTTAATATGATGTTTTAGATTGTCATTGTTTATTGTGTTATGATGTGATATCAAATTATGCTGATCTTAACAGTAACTTGTTAGTTGTAGTTACAAGAAAGTTTTATTTTTATTTGATTTTATTATACATGGTGAATGTTGTTGTATCGTAGCAAAATTATTCTGTTGGATGAGAGAATGTTCTTTTTGTAGTGAAAAGGAATATATTAGAATATATTTTGTCTTTGATATTTTTTATTATTTGATGAAGATGTGACATCTAAATAATATGAAATATCTTTCGCATAATTCGTTGTCAAAGTTGTAATATCATCGAACAGTGCAATTTTGCTACGTCAGTTACATCATATATCGCAAATTTTTTGGACAAGTACAACTACATTTGTCTTTAATAGTTATTAATGAGCTTCTTCATGATCCTCTTCTTGATCTTCTTCATGATCTCCTTCATGATCTTGTTGATAATCTTCTTGATATGTTTCTTGTGGTTCTTCTTCTTCCTCTGCTTCTATTGAATTTTCATTTGCAAGCTCATAATCGATACTTTCGGAAATACATGAACTGATAAAGTGTAATTTAATGTCATTACCAAAATAAGACTGTCCAAGTCCAAAATTGTTGATATTAATGCCAGTTGTGTCAGCATTTTTCAAGTGAAACAATAACATGTTAAATAAAGACGATGTTGGATAATTAAATACACGAAGTGATGTTCGAAATTTAGTTAAGAATGAAAAAAATTGTTCACATACTGATGTATTTATATGTTTGAATATATCTCGATTTTGCTCATAATTCGGATTCATGAATTGCTTGCACATTTGACGTTTATGTCCTTTTTGATGAAATCTATCAATAACAAGACGAAGATTATATAGTTTTTCCGTTAATTCTGTACGCTTCATATAGTTGGTGTTGAATACATTGTTCCAATGCAAACGTAAAGCGCAAGCTGTATCATAAACTAAGAACTCTGGCATAACTGCACCAGATTTCATTGATGTTAATAAATGATCCTAAAATAAAATAAAGAAAAAATGATATATTTGTTTCAATAAAATATTTTCATCAATAGGATGGAAGTACTGACTATCTAAAAACAGGATATGATATCTGACATTTTCCAGCTTCCATTAATTTCACAGAAAACCTCTAGATATTTTATGTATAATTGTTTTAAAATATCAGAAAATTATGTTAAAATGTTGTTACTATTTATCAAATTAATGGAATCTGTGTATTACAATCAATACAATTCTTAGGTATTTTGGTAATTATCACAAGCAAAACCTAAAATTGAAAATAAATAATTTTTGCTAAGTGAAAGTTGAAGATTCTAAGGCATAATCGACCAGATTACAGTGAAATATTTTCACTTTCAGTGCTTCTCAGCATAGCTTAATAACACTAACTTAAGATATAAATTTCCTTTTTTTAAATTTCTAATAACTGATAAATATTATTTAAGAAAAAAAGGATATTCTTATTGATTTTCAAGATTTCAAATACAATATCCGATTAGATATTGAGTTTCTCTCTAGCAAAAATATTTGATAGAAAACATGTTAATTTCAATTAATCGTATATAAACAGAACATCATTGTTATGTTATCAAGTTCTCATCATGTAACAAATTTTCTAAAAATATCTTATGTTATTTGATATTTCAAATAAGGAAGAACCGAAAAAAATACAACGATGAAATTCTATTTTAATCAAATTGGCATTCACATTGCTGTTATATATTAATATTTATCCTTCCACAATAACATCAAATGCATGATACGGAGGATTACCGTACATCTTCTATTATTCTCACTTCTACTTATATGATGTTTATCAATAAATAGATAAAATCAGCATACATTACCATTGGAATTTATGTTTAATTATTTTTTTAAATTACAATTTCATAATTCTTTATCAACATTCCTTATTAATTTACCAACAAAATTTACATTTTGGTCCATGGTTTATGTAATTTTGAAGAATTTTTCAATCCTGACATTAGCTTGAATATATACTCTTCTTTGCATCACAAAATCTGTTACATAAAACTAAATTTTACATGTGCAGATAGATTTCTTATTTATAAAAGTGTATTTCAACAAATAATAAAGTTAGTCAATATTTGTTAATTAACGGTAGTATAATTTAACGTAAGATGTTTCAACCTTTTAATACATCCACACTGTACGAACCTACAGAGCATATTTTGGAAAAAAAAGTATTTATTATTATTAAATTATTCTTATTTTTTTAGCTATATTTGAGGTCATTTATTTCATAAAATATTGTCTGCAACAAGAAAAATATTTTATGATATTATTCTTCTAAGATAGACTTCTTTTTATATAAGTATAAGTTAAGTACGTTTTCTAAACTCAACCAGTTTCTTGATTAATGATCATTTGTAAAATCTGAACATGATAATATGGTGTAGAGACATCTAAAATCATATTGTACGTGAGAAAATATCTCGATGGACATTCAAATATTGTTTTCCTCTAGTTTTTGATACTTAGTCAAATGATCTTTTGTTCATCTAATATGTATTAAAACTCCTGTAAGCTATTTTTGTAGAGATTGAACAATAACAATACTACCAATATCTATATCAAACGTTGAACATAGTATTCGTGTCGATGAGTATTGGTATTATTGTATTCATACTATTTTTAATAAAAAATGAAGTTATTTTTTTTTTGAAGTACATTCATGTAAGTAATATTAAAATAATGAAAAAAAAGCTTTACCGTTATTCGTCGACAACCTTCACTTCGTATGGATTCAGTGAATGCAATAACAACTCCACATGATAAAAAAGTTACTAAAACGCCGAATGATCTAGACTTTTGATCATTTTTAAGTTCATTGCGATAAACATTGCACATATCATCATTATCCATAGTGCGTATAATTTCTTCATCAATCACTACAGCTTGTTGATATTCATTTGATTGAGTAATTTTTTGTTGGTTAATAGAAGTATTCATATATTTAATATGATGTTTACAGTAATACGAATTTTGATCTGCAAATATAGAAATTATGATTTATTATTAAGATAAAAAGATATCATAATTAATACACGAACTTTTTCCTTTTTCATTTGATTTCGAACGGTGGGGTGGATATGGACATCCCTGGTTCACTGGTCCAAGTTCCAGATGATTAGTATTAGTAAGATTTTCATATCGACAAATTATTCTATTAATTTTTTGGTGACCGTCAATCAGCATAACTGCTGAACATGAAGATTGTTTACATTTAATATAAGGAAATATACGATGTCGTGACCAAAAAGTATTAAAAAGATGATGGAAAAATGGTAAATTTTGCTCTATGAAAATGTATCTTGATTCAGGTTGTAAAGACTTAGGAAGAACAATTGATTTTTCACGACTAGTAAGAAATACAAAACGACTGAGTTCGAAAAATATCCAAGCAACCTCCATCCGTTTAGCTAATGTATTTGACGAAACAATAGGTTCATGATGGCCATGAACGTCGATCAACATGTTTAAATATGATTCTGTAAAACCTTGAAAAGTTGTATGCGCATGAATAAGATTATTACTGAACATAGATAAAAATTCTTTTCTGTATACAAGATCGCCAGAAAAATAAATATTGTTATTGTTTTGAATTGAACTAATTGTAATAGTTCTTTGATTCGATTGTGGATCAAAAATTGTTGTTGGTCCATAAATGCATTTACAATTTGAACAAATACCATTAAATATTGAACAAGGTTTTACTGATGCTAAGAAAATTATATGAGCATTTGTCGAAAATTCAATATCTAATTTTGTTCGTTTACATTTTACATTTTCACAATAATCGGTAAATGGCATGATATTAATCAAAGTTTTATCATTATGAAATCGATTAAGTTTATTTAACAAGTTATATTCTGTTATTAATTCATTAAGATCAATTTCACGAAATAATTCTCTTTTAATTCCTTCATCGATAACAATTGCATTATGAATGGCACAAATAATGCTCTTGCTGTAAGTCGTTTTACAACCTATATTAATTATATCAGTAAAAAAATTTAATCGATCAGAATAGAATGAGTTGGATGAGAATACAGGAAATTGTATTTCGAGTTTAATAAGTATTTGTAATGCACGGTAGGATATCTTAGTTAATATCCATGATATTAGTTGAGAAATATTATTAGATGTTACTATATTAGTTGATGATGATGATGATGATTGTAATGAGTTCATAGATAAATAATCAGATATATATGTAGATATATTCTTTTAATATAAAATTTTAGAATAAAATAGCAATTATGAGAATATCAATTTCCTTAATTACAGAAATATTTATTGTAAAATGTAACATGAACAGGAATAAATTATTAGTTCTTATCGTCTATATTTATATCAAGGTATATTATCTTTGAATGTGCTATGATTTTATTAAGTTTTATCTATATAAATTCCAAGAGATCTAGTTACATAAATTATAGAATAAGCTTAATGAAAAGAAAATAATTACAATTAAGAAAAGTCAACACAAAAATGTGTACATATAACAATTAATTACTAGAAGAATATGATTGAAAGAAAAATAGAATATTTACAATATATTACCAATAAATACAATATATAGTTAAAGAAATAAGAAAATAAAAGAAATATTCAATATAATTATTTTGTTTTACTAGATTATTTTTCATTTTTGTTTCACAATACAACTAAATTTATTATAAGAGAAACATAATACAAACAAAACATGTTGAAAGAATACATAAACTTATTCTTGATCGAAACGCTGTGGTTGGTGCCGAGTACGTTTTGGTGCTGGTCCAGCTGTAGCTAACAAATTTTCATTTGTACGTTTTCTTGAAATTTGATGTTGATTAATCTTTTTGTATTGATTTTGTCGATATTCATCTATTACTAACAATATAAAAAAATAAAATATATATTTATATATCACATTCAATGAACATTTATCAATAATAAAATAAAGGCAGTGGCTATGTACACATATGTGTACATAGCCACTTCCTAAAATAAAATGCAACTAACCTAAACTAGATGTTGTTGGTAATATACCTTCTGTACTCCAACATACAGCTTCATTACTAACTACGAATCTTTGTGAATAAAAATGATTAGTATTTATAAAATCAACAAGCTTTGTTGAAAACAAATATGTTTTCAAATGAATATCTGTTCTTGATAAAACACGTTTAGTTATATTATTATTTGAATTTTGTGGAGATGATTGTTTATTATCAAAAGAACTAATATATTCTTCTAAAGTTATATTATATTCTCCTAACATTTCAGCAAATTTTATATTATCTTCAGTATACGATGATGCACTATTATTAATATTATATGTTGGACAAAGTTTAATATAACCATCAAGATATTCAATAATTCCATTCGAATTTTTTTTAGCAAATACGTTTTCTTTAATAAATATGCCTTCATCACATAATTTTTTAATTGTATGTTCACGTAATAATGAGTATTGTTGAAGAGCATGTGCTAAATAACTTTTACTGAAGACAAAGCCATCAAGAAGAATAACACGCTTATAAACAGGATGGTTTTTATCAGCAAGAATAGTTTTTACAGCTATAGTAAAAAGACAAGGTAATATTTTATAGTTAGACCATATTTATGACATATATAGGAATCGATTAATATTGAAATATGATTCTTTTATTTCTACATAACAAAATGATAAAGCTTACCATCATCTGATAATAATTCATAATCTTTATCAGTTTTTGACTTTCGACCTCGTTTTCGTTTATTTATTAATGATCTTGAAATAGATCGAGTTTCTTCTAATGGTGAATGAATAGAATTTGATATTGGTGAACTAGGAGATGTTTGAAAAGGTGCTGTTGATTGTTGTTGTTGTTGTTGTTGTTGTTGTTGTTGTTGTTGTTCAATAGAATTTAGTGATTTTTGAAAATCATTTGAATCATCATCTAGCAATTGTAAGAAAAACTATTAAATCTCCAAAGATTATGATCAAAATATACTCATACTTGTTGGACATTTTGATGAATCGTATTCCTGTAAAGCCGAAGATCGATTATTCGATGAACAAATGATAACACTTTGATCAGTTGTTAATGGTATTGTTTCTGATGTTAGTTGAGTTGTCATCAACAAATATTCTTGAGAGTTTTCTAATTAATGTAAAAGATTTTTTAAATTTAATTGATGAAATGACAGCTAATATTGGAAAATTTAACACTCACGAATATCACAATTTAATGATGTTGAAACATTTTCTTCAATAATTGTTTGAGGTTCAATTAATTGATTATTATTAACAGTTGGATGTTCATTAATATTCAATGACGACTAGAGATACGAATTTTCAAGTCAACAAGAAATAATGCTTGTGCCTTTTGACTTACTTGAAATAATACTGAAGAAAATACTGATGATGTTATTGGTATTAATTGTCGTTGATTTGAATTATTAACTTTTTGAATAAAATAAAATATTATATTTATTTTTCAATATGTAATAATAATTATCTATTAGATACGAAATCTTACTTGATATTGAAGACATTGTTGATGTTGATAATCGAGTATTATCACTACTAAATGATTCGCTGAATTTCTTTTCTAAAGAAATAAAATCAAGAATTTTATACATAATCTATATGTCAAAGAAATATTTTTATTGACTCGTACGTTGTTCAATAACAGAATCATGTTTTTCTCGACGATAATTTAACATGATCTGTTGACAAATTTTCATAAATTTTTTCAAGTTATGTCGCAATCCAACTTTTTGCTCCATACGTGAAACAATTTCTTTCATGGTTAATGTGCATGTTGATTCACTATTTGATGAACCAAACCAATCTAAACCAAAAATGATAATAATCAATGTCATAAAATATAGTATCTACTGCAACATGTCAAATAAGCTATTCAAAGATATTTATATATATTCATGTATGAAATATTTATTAGTCAATTGCTAGTTTTAAATGTTCTGCAGTATTAAAATTCAAGTAAGTTTTATTGATTCAGAAAAAAATTCTAATTCTCAAATGAATTAGCGAGCGAAAAGAGCACAAAGTACAACAACTGATTATTTAACTTTTCTACATATTCATAAGCAAGAATTTCAAATTTTTAAGAAGTTCTCTCTAATATTCTTGAGTGGATGATCCTCTTAAATACTTTTCACGCTCACTCTCAATACTACATAGGATAATTTAATCATAAATAGGAGCAAAAATAAAATATATGTACGCATAGAAAACATTGTTGTCTTATTAGCTATCCTTATTTAATTGCTCATGTCTCCGTTCACTATTTACCTGTCGTTTCTATTTCTCTTCTATGTATACTTGTTGTTGTTTAACATTATATCACTTTCCTTGTCAATCGCAAGTCTTCTTAACTTAGAAAAATGCATATGTTATAAATGTTCGCAATTGACATTCTCTTCTCTATCTTGTTGTCTCATTACATTGATATACAAAGTGTCACTATTACTATTTCTTTAACCTCTTGGAGAAATAAGAAAACCCTGACTACTAAAAAAAGTAAATTCTATTGATAGTCGCTAGTATATCATTCTTAGAATGATCTTTTTCTAATATTATATTACAATATTATTAGAATTCTAATAAACTCTTTAATTCAGGACAAGCAAAGGATAAAGTTCTATAATGGTACAATATGATGTTTCATTGTAATGCTATCTTTTCTAGCTCTAAATGTTCGAAATAAGAACAAATTTTTCTATTAAAAGAAGATATCGCAGTTGACACAATTGGTAGTTTCATTAATTTTTTAAAACGAAATATATTAAAAAGATTTACTCGAATCTAAATGCAATCAATCCTTCTACTTTTTTACTTTAATGAACTCTATCATTTACACTAGTTTTTGTTCGAATTGCATTGTGTTTTATATAATTCAAAAGAATCAAGTGTATTAAAAAGTATATGACACTTTACTTACTAGTAAATTTTATTAATAATTGATATGCCATAGCAGAATTATTTTCTTCAAATGTACTGCCAACTTTTTCTTCTTGATATTTATCAATAAATTCAGATATAATTAACAAAAGATTTGGTTCATGTTCAAGCTTCATAAGACTATTAGTAAATTCAATTGTATCATCTTCATTGTTGTGATAATAATTATTATTAACCAATCGAGCATTTGAATTTTGATCAACCTTAATAATACCATTACTAACTGATGATGAACTTGTTGCTTCTTGTTGGTTTTGATCAGATTCTATTATCAAGGAAAAAAAAACAATAAAATATTTACTCAACAAATGCTTTAACTAGTTATATTTGTTATCATTTACTATTATATCTTATACCTTCACTATTAATAGTAGTAAGATTATTGAATAATGTATCATTATATTTTTTATTTGAACTATTTATTTGGTATCGATATGGACCAGATTGATAATCATAAACGATTTTAATCTCGTTTAATTCCAAACGTTCTTGAATCATTTGATTGACACCTTTGTCCTTTTGAAGACGATGATAGTAATGTACATAATTGTTATTATTATGAAATAAATTAATTCCTGTTTGTGTTATAGGTATAATACTTCCATCACTCATAGTCATTAACCCGAAGGTTTCAAATAATTTTTCATAATTATTTATTGTAAACATTTGACCACATTTGTCAAAAAAACTAGTTGAATGTTGTTGTTGTCGAAGAGTATTTGGTGGTAATTTAGCAAATGAATCACATTTTGTTGCTGTTATAAAATGGCCACTAACTAATAAACCATACTCAACCATCAAATGAATGATATGATTTCGAACATCAGTTGAAGCATTTTTTAAAACACCAGAACCAGAACAACCAGGAATTGTTTTACAAAGATAATTTCTTGAGAAAATAACTACTGGTGCTCTCATCACTTTGATGATCCACTTCATATCTCGTTGTTCTCTAAACATAACAAGGCAAACATATAAAATATTTTATCAGAAAAATACTTTATATAATAAAAACTGTTAGCGTAATTCTCTGTGAAATTAAAGTATGAAACACGATCTGGTCCTATCATGCTGTACAATTAGAACCGAATATTCAGCTATAATCTACAATCAGTGCTTTAAGTGAATTTATAAGAGAGTGAAACGCAACACTCGGTCTCCTCTTCGAGGATCTTTTATCTGATTATTATCAAGAAACTAAAAATTCCTCACTTTATACTTTAACACTCTCTTTAGATCATGTTTCATAAAATTAAATAACTTACTCTGGTGATAATTTATTCATTGATTGAGTTTTTTCACTATCCATGATCAATTGATTTAAATTTGAAGTATCAAATAATATTTTAGTTGTTAATTCAATATATGAATAAAAACCATACGCACGTTCAACTTGATTTTTGTCAATATATATAATTGGTCGATTATCAATACTAGGCAATTTGTCTAAGTACTCAGTAACAGCTTTACTTGCAGCAAGTACGAAAGCAGTTGATATAAATTTATTTGCCATTAAACTTGGTCGACTAAAATTACCTTCGTCGAAAATAATAAATTTTAATAATTTCGATGCAATTTCACTTATGATCTCCAATAAACAAAATAATGCACATATTCGTGGAAACTTATTTGTGCTTTTACGAACTATTCCACCTAAATGTTCATCAGTCTGTTCTGCCGATTGAAATTCCGAATTTAATATTGAATAAACAAGTTTAAATGCACTTATTGCAATACCATCTTCAGTATAATCAGATGGACATACATCAAAAACATCTTCATTTGTTGGTTGATTAACATTTGATGAAGTAATTTCGAATGTTTCACTAATAATGCCTTGTTCTCGACGAAGTTCTTTCATATATGAATCATCAATTAAGTCTACAAAAAATAATAGCATCAAATTTTTAAAACAAACTTTAAGAGATAATGAAACGATAAAAAATAAGTTCTACAAAACACTTACGAAGATTTTTTTCAAAAACACAGTCGGACATGTGTTTTTTAAAACGAAATTCAGGTGAATATTGTAGTATTTCATGTGCTATTATTAATAAATGATCAATAGAAGCAACATCAGATATTAATTGTGCCGATGGTGGTGGAAGAAATTCAGTAACTGTTTGAATATGCCAAATATTTAAACGGCCAAGTATACCAACGTCCTCATGTTTTTGATGTATTGCTTGAAGGGTAGCAGACATTTTGCTACCAGTTGTTGCTAAAACTACAAATACGAAGAAGTTTTTATCAAGATTCTTATTTTTTGCAGATCAAAAAGCAAAAAACCACTTAGTAAGAAATAGAAAATGATAAAAATTTTATTTCCAAAAATCAGAAAGGATCTTTTTAATTTCCAATTGTTGCTTAAGCTCTTTCTTAATATCATAGTGAGACGCTTCATATAAGATTTCGATAGTTTTAAGACGAATTCCACAGATAAATTGAAGTCTGTGATATACACTTTTTAAAACAAATTTAGAGAATAAAAACGTCTACAAATTAGACATTCAAAGACTAAATCAGTTTTACGTATTAGTGAAAATGTAATTTATTTAGTACAATAACAGGATGAATTATTGCGTCATTTTTTTGAATATCATTGAGATGATGGAAACTCTTTTAACAGCTAATAGAGACAGTTTTTGACTGCAATCATCATCACAAAAGCAGAGTTAACGGCCATAACAAATAATATAGATATGTTTATTGATTAAATCTGAATTCTTATCGTCAAGTTGTGCTCTCAATATGAGAGAATAGGATTTTAGATTTTTTCTTTCTGTTTAATAATTGATAACGGTATAAAGTAAAAATTTTCAAATATCTGGTTTATTTCGAAGAAGTCTTTCTAGTAATCATGTCATCAGGCAAATATCAATTAATTTATATATGAATGTGTAAAAGAAAAACTAATAAGGGTTAATATCCACAAACCTTTCAAACTTAATATTGCTGTAAGCAATACATAAGTAAAAGCTAACAGAAATTTTCTTCAACATTTTCAAAAAAATATGGTAAATTTAGTATAAAATCTAAGAATATTGGTTAAATATATAAAGAGAAAAAAGTCTTTAAAAAAGAAAAAACTAGAAAACACTTTTAATAACGGAACTTTTCTGTTAAAAACAGAACAATTGAGAATCACAGTTTGTAGATTATTTAACAGATAAAAATAAATACTTACACGTTGACAATGTGGCATTTTCAATATGAATATTTTGTCGACCTGTTGTTCGATTATAATTAACAAGACCATCAAGGCCACCACACATTAAATTAACACCACCAGCATGTTTTGAATCAGTTGGAGAATAAAATCCAAACGCTGTTAAAATAACGTCACCTTCGTCGTGGCAAAGAAATGTATCAGTTGTTGCTAAATTCTTCGTTATTGCCAATTCTGTACAAACTTCTGTCATAAATGAAGCTTTGGTCATTTTGGTGGACGTATTTGATAATTCAGTTGTTTGTGCAGGACCTTGATCACTATCAATTTGATTTCCATATTTATTAATATTTGGATAATAAATATCCTCATAATGATGAGTTAATGTTCCAATTCCATGACGTATCAATTTTATGTAACTACTTTTATTCGTGCCTAAATAAAATAATAATAATTAAAGTAAATATAAAATTAAATTATCACCAAATTTTCTGCATAAGTTTCGAATGAAAACTACTCAAATTCTAACGATTTTTTCCGATACTTAATAAATATAAAATTTAATGAACAGTTCATATGCTTATTCTTGAAATATAGCAAGCATGTAAACGTTGTAATCTGATCATATGAACTTCTATTCAATACCTAAAGAAAGCTTCTGATCTTTCTTAAAAGGCTAGCGAACTATTTAAATGACTTCATTCATCTCAGCAATACACTCGTATAGTGAGTTTTAAAAAAACGAATTTGTTCATAATTGAAATACAGGAATTACATGAATATAGTTACTTGATCAATCAAATCTATATATGATATATATATATATATATAACCCAATCGATCTCGTTTGAAATGTAACAATCATAAAAACAACTATGCTTAACCCTTTACGGTCGGATGTGTCCATTTGGGCACATCGATCTTTTTAGTGCCGAAAGAATTTCGTTCTAAAAGAATAGACTTCATTGATCTCTACCACAGTCAAAACAATAAATTAA